AATTCGGCCATGGCAATCACCACGCCCGGTAGGTGTTCGGTCAAATGGCGTTGAGCTTATTTTGAATGACATGTCGTTTTTTAGAGTACGAAGGATGACGGGATACGCGACTATGGAGGATGAGTTGTTGTGCAATGGGCGGTTCGGCGTATCCACAGGTTTCATAGACAAGAGAAAGGGAGGACCTTTTGGCAGCAAGTGCATGAATCATTTCACGCGCGAAAGCACATTGTGCCCTACGACATGCACATCATCCAGCAACGCAATGTGAGGTCATTGTCGTATCGATGGTATGCCATCCAAACCTCTGTCACCAAGTTTTGTGGCGCGGTTGATAAGTTGAAGGCAAGGTGGTCATTGCGCGCGACAGAGGAGGAGATCGTAAGTTCTGCTTCTTCTTCCTCAACTTGTTGATTGATTGGTTCGTTCATTCATTCAATGTTGCTCTACACATTGTGTAACCCGCATGCACTGTCGCCACCCGTGATATAACACATGATGGAGGGACGGCCATTTTATGCATATGCACTGTTGGGTGAAGTTGAAGGGGTAGTAAGTGTGGGACATCAGGATCCATTAATCTCGCTGAATTTGACATATTGTTATACTAGACTTATTTACATGCTATGTATGAATGATTTGTGCTATTTTCTATCCAAACTTTGATAAAAATTCGCCTTGTTTGCATGAATCTCGCCTGATTAGTTGAAACCCGGCTTGAAATGTATGCGGGCAGCATTGGATGGTCGCCTTCCTCATCAGTATTTACGGGTCAGTATTGGAGATGCCCTAGGGCGTTTTCAACGGCGACCCGTAAATTTCCTCCAGCATCCGTCTGCGGACAGGGGGGCCAGTCCGCGGAGACGGATGCGGGAGACCGCCATTCAACGCTGTCCGCATACATTTCAACCCGCATTTAAACTAATCGGACGACATTCATGCAAATCGATCGATATTCATTAATGTTTGGATAGAAAATAGCACAAATCATTCATACATAGCATGCAAATTAATTCTAGTACAACAATGTCTTAAATTCGACTAGATTAGCCGAATGTGTAACAAGTTTTTCATCAACAGATCATGGTCTCCCACACATACTTCCCCTTCAGCTTCATTCAACATTGTGTGTACGTAAATGGCCGTCCATCTGTCATGTGATATATCAAGGCGGCGTGTGCATGCTACATAATGTCTAGACCAACATTGTGTGAACGAATCAATTAACAAGTTGAGCAAGAGAAAGCAAACTTATGATCTCGTGCTCTGCCGCGTGCAATGGTCACCTTGCCTCAAGCTGACGAACCACATTACAAAACTTGGTGACGCTAGTCTGAAAAGCGTACAAGCGATACGATAATGACCTCACATTGCGTTCTTGAATGATGTATATGTCGTAGGGTGTAATGTGCTTTCATGCGTGAAATGATTCACGCACTTGCTGCCAGAAGGTCCCCCTTCTGCTCTTGCATACGAAATTCACGGATACGGCCAACCACGCATCGCACAATAACTCATCTTTCATGATTGAGTAGATCACCATTTTTCGTACTCTAGAAAACGACATAGCATTTGAAAATAAGCTCAATGGCAGTTGACCGAACAACTGACGAGTGTGGTGTCCGCCATGGAGGTTGTCGACAGGGGGCGAAGTGTACCTGGGTACAAACGATCCAGGGCGAATATCGCCGTCATCGAGGCGAGCGGGCGCGTCAGTGCTGGTTGTGGACGTCCGACGATGCCTCTGTGGGGGCCTGAGACGTGCAGCAACGGCGGCAAAGATGAAGAGTGCGGATGCAAAGTAAGGGGGAAGGAGCGGAGTGTAAGGAAATTTTGCCGGGAGTGGGATTGGGTAGGCCGGCGGTCGGAGTCCTACGTGTCTGCTGTTCGGACTCCCGCAAAGCCCCCGTCCCCTCCCATCACATTTTGTCTCCAATTTACGGGAAAAAAACACATATGAACAGCTCGGCGAAACGATACAGATCCACGTTGAATGACTTCCACGGTCCAGACGTATGCAGGCGGTTTAAGAACCGCGTCGAAGATGCCCTCAATGCCCTTACTGATGAGGCGAGATGGACGTAGCTCGTGAAAGAAAGAAAAAACGACGACACGTGCATGTTGTCAAAGTGTCAAGCTCCCGTGCGGCTTCCAGGCGCGTGCAACATGGGCCTCCAGCCGTCTGCGCGAGCAGGAGGAGGAGGGCAGCGCGCGCACGTGGAACATGCGTGGACTAATCTTGGCTCCGCCGGCCGGCCGGCGAGCCGAACGACGGCACGCACGCGCGTCAAGTTGCGGCTACACCAACTCCAGGCGAACCGTGCACGTCGCAGCACCGGTCACCCGTTTGAGCCGGCTTCTCCGCGCGCGGCAGCCATGGGATCAACGGGGCCATGCAAGTATGCAACCGGCCGGCCACGTTCCACGTAGTGCATGTCCAGCAAAAGGGGCTACTCATCCATCAAAGTCCATCGGCAGCTTCGTCCGTGCGTGCGTGCATGCATGTACGTATCCGGCAAGCACCGGCTGACGTCGCCGCGTGCGAGTCCACCGCGCGGCCGGACTCCATCGACACCGACGGACCCACGGGCGACGAAGCCCACGCGGCGCACGTAAGCCAGCAGGGACGCCGTCGATCCCCGGCCGTATCGGCAATGGCATCGGCATCGGCATCGGCATGGTCACCATCCACGCGGCCGCACGCACAAGCCGTCGACCCGCCCAACGTCAGTGTTAAATGTCACATCAACTTTATACGGAGTACTATATTAACTAAACGAAAATGGTGGTTTCCATCACCCTTTTTTTAACTATAAAATAATACAGTAGTCAGATATGCATGCGGTCAAGAAGGCTCAACGTGTGCTCATGGAAAACCTGGGGCCGGCCGCGCCTGATGAGCAGATCACGTCTCACAACCTGCTTAGATATGCGGCCGAAGAGGAACATTCATCAGAGGTTACTAAACTTGTTCTAGAACCCAGTGCTTTAAAATACCTAAAATACAGTCATTGAACTCGCTAAGGCTTCGTTCGGTTGATGCGGTTTCCATCCACACGGGGAACCAACCCCTGCAGGGATTGGGTGAATCCCCTCATGTCACCCACCCCCCGCCAACACCCTGACCACAAATCCCTTTGTCTTAAATTCTGTTGGGTCACTCCCTCCCTCCTTTGGCAAAAATTTAGCAGTCAGCTCATTCAATTAGACATGCTAAGGACGTCAAAGATAGCATCACAGGTACCACATCAACAAACTCAAAAGCACAGCTGCTTTTGCATCATCAGAGGGAGTCAAAAATCACCCCGTATCACCAATTCCTCAAATCAAAGTCCATGAACCCTAGGAATTAAGGGTGTGAGAGGTAAGGTAACGCCGGCAATGGGTTTCTCTGGTCTCCATAGCTCGCGCCGCGGCTGCTCCGGGTCGCCTCCGAGCTCATGCCGCTGCGACTAGATGCGGTGGCGCCGCTTGGGCACGCCGCCGCGGTCTCCTCCAGTAGCGCTGCTGCTGACCCTCCTTCTCCGAAGTCGTCGCCATCGCAGTCTCCCTGCGAAATTGAGATTCGAGAAACGGAGCGAGGGGTCGGGGCGAGAGAGAGAGAGCGTCGTTTCGCTCGCGAGAGAGACGGGGTTTGGTTCCATGGGGTGAGACGCGTGGGCCATTTTCCGGCTGTTTCCACGGGGTTTGGAAGGGATTTGGGAGGGACTTAATCCAGGCCGGGTCTAACCGAAGGCTGCTATAGGCCAAACCGGGATCTGATCCCGGCCGGGACGAAACCCACGGGGATCGACGGGTTTTGTCTCCGATCCCGGCGAGGGTGGGGATAACCGAACATAGCCTAAAGGGGTTTACATACAGCCTCTAACATGTTTTTGTGTACATATTTTGTTTAGCTGGCATACAGTTGACCGGTCCAACCACCATGTGAACGACAACCGTAAGGACAACGTGGCGAGGCGATGTGACATTTTGCAATAAAGCACTGATGGCCCCACCTGTTAGCTGGGGGTCAAAATTTTGCAATAAAGCCTTGATGGTCCCACCTGTAAGTTGGGGGTGAATTTTTTGCAATAAATCCCTGATGGCCCCACCTGTCAGTTGGGGGTGAAATTTTTGCAATAAAACCATGATGGCTCCACTTGTCAGTCTATTAGTTGAGGGAAGAAATATTATGGAAACTAAAACAAACAAGCATGTCCGACAATTTTGCTACTCTACATAAAAGCTCGTTCTCTCCAGCTATCGCCCTTACCTTTCGTGAAATTGTTCATTGGTCAATGGGTGTGAGCCCTTGTATATAACCCCAACATATAACCTCGTCTCCCCTCTGTGCACCACCTCCTAAGGCCTTCCAAACTTATTACCCATCTCCGCACTAGATCCACCACCACCCACCATTCAAATTAAACCCTATTCTCGCCAAAAATTTGTAGGAGTAATCATCTTCGGAAAACAAAAATTGGGACTAGGAGAACACGAAGAGGTCACCGAAGGACGACATCCACCGCCAAGTGAGGACACAAACAGATTGTCATCCCCGGAGGCCAAAATACGCCGAGTGAGAGGACATCCCAGGTACTTGTTCATCAGGTATGTTTTCCTTCGCTTTTTGATTTCATAGTCACCTTTAGGCCGCGCTTGGCAACCATCTAACTTAATACAGAAGTATTAAATTTACAAGTGTATTTTACCAGACATAGTGATTTCCGGCCGGAAACAAAACCAACAGGCAGAAATCTGTATTTTTTTTATGGATGTATTTAAAAGACAAACAATAATCCAAAGAGAGCCTTAACCCACAATAAAAACATTTCTAATGGAAAATGGGGTTTACAGAAAGTCGAACGAACTATGATTAGATTAGTACGTCGACCTAGGTGAGACCATTCACGCTCTGCCAAGCACGCTGGCATGGCATCAGAGCCTTGCCAATCTTTACCAGCAGAGAAAAAGCATGGGGTTTGTACCAGCGAAGCAAGTAAACCAAACAAAACATGATCAGACCCAAAATTTGCAGATGCATCACCTCTCAGGCGTGAGAAACCAGGCAGATCTCAGGACCCAAAATGGTAAGAAATACTCCCTCTGTTCCTAAATATTTGTCTTTTTGGAGATTTCAACAAGTGACTACATACGGAGCAAAATGAGTGAATCTACACTATAAAATATGTCTATATACATCTGTATATGGTAGTCCATTTGTGAAATCTCTAAAAAGACAAATATTTAGGAACGGAGGGAGTATATTCAGTTACAGTTTTCACCAACCAAACCTTGCAACATCAATGACTGCGAACACTGCCACAGATGGCAGGCAATCATGCGTGATGATGACTGGCCAAACAGGAAATATGGCTCCTGCATGGATAGCATTTCTATCACAGCACACAAATCACAACCAGCCATATATTACAGTACAGTACGACGGCATCTATTGCCCATCTGGAAAACAATGTGACATACTGCAGGTTCAAAAATTTCCTAACAATCATGATATGTTTGTACAATGGTTGGTGTATGCGGAGCTCGGCACTGTGTGAAGTATAACAGAGAAGAACGGCAAAAAACATTTGGTGGCATTGAGCTGTTGACAGAAGTATGCAAAAAAGCTACTCAGTTGCTAGCAAGATGAATCAACGAGAACTGTGAAGGTTGGAGTCTAGAAAGGTATTCCCTGTTGGAAATCGACTACGAACGGCAGTTAAGCTATGCATCATTCTTGGCGGTGGATCTCATCCCTGTCATTTTTAGCAATCACTGCACGTGGAAGAAGTAAAGCATGTCAGTTGTATTGATTTTTAAACACACAAAAATGAAGGAGCAAAAGGCAGCCAAAATATAACTGCAGGGCCCTCTTAACACATAATGCTTGTGCACAATCTGTCAATCAGCTTATGCACGATCATGGCAATTTTTTACACTAGTGTAGTGTCAAAAATGCTCTTATATTACGGGGCGGAGGGAGTATCAGGTTGTGCTATGGTATTGATGATTAACAGCTCTTTCACTAATCAGTAATCACTATCAGGTTGTGGTATTGAGTACCAAATTCAACAGCAGTGACCACTACTGTGCTAACCTTTGGGACAAGCCTTGATGACCGTCTGGGTACTGTAGAGGGCTTGGTCTGCTTAGCAGCAGCACTTCTTAACCTACATAGTATATTTCTTGTAGCCACACCCTGCAACTCCTCAGGATCACACGGTTTTTCTTTGTCTGCAGATTCATGACTGTTACCTGTCCTGCAAAATATAAGGTTTATGTAAGTAAGGAACTACTTCAAAAACAGAGGTGCTAACTATGTTTACACAGAACATACTTTGCACCATGATTCGTGGCCACGGGAGTAACAGCATTGTCCTGCACAAGAGGATAAAATAAAATAAATCAACTGAAAAAACGACAAATGAAAGCAAGCAATGAAGCAGCTTCCAGATACACAGGCACACAGAGATATAACTAATAACTTTGTATACTAAACACACAAATGGAAATGGAATTTCAAAAGAAACATAGTAAACGAAAATGATTTTACAACACATTATACTATTTCTTTTAAGTGATCATTTCGCTAATCCCTGTAGAAAAAGAAAACACTAGATTCACCAAGCCATGCTATATGAAGGCACTGGTAGTGAATACCAAAGATGCCAGTTAATGAGGTTACCCAAATATCAATTACCAAATAGATAGGTTTGCAGTTGCAGAGCTAAGATTTGGGCATGTGGAGTTGGCCACAGTTAGGCCAGAATGATACAGGCAAGCTTTCCTTCTTTCTTCCCTTTTACTACAAAGTATAAACCAGTAAAATAAGTCAGCCATGCATCTACTAGTTTAGTGAGAGTTGACACTATGACTAGTTGAAACCGTTGCATGGATGACTACAAATAGAAGACGCCATCTTGAAAGTTGTTTGAAAAGGGGATGTAGGCACCAATTCATTGTAACAAATGAATAGGAAAATTTGTGCAGGGAAGATGTATCACTAGTAGGCCTTAGATGATACAGCTCAACCACAGAAACACGACACCTTAACAAAGTGCTTACTTGGCCATATAGAAAACCCAAGAAAAAAGAAAGAACAATCTTCGCTACAATAACAGGTCATTCCTAGTATAGAAGGTCATTAATATTGGTATTCTACCTAGAAAGTTTCCTTGGTCAAATTAGAAAGTTATTTATGAATGGCACAAGAATGTCAATATTATGTTACTATTTTCTAGTCCTATTGGATATTTTTGCATCAATACTTCATTTTGTATCGAGAAAATATTAAACTATTTTGAATGTCATGAACTGACAAATCAAGAGTTCACATGTCAGATACAAACCCTACAAAAGGCAGTTGGAGCCATGCGAGTTTGCATGAAACTTGTCTAAAGTACCAATAAGGGACGGCATTTGATGGTCATGGAGATTGAGAAGGTTAAGATGACAGCAAGAACCCTGTAAGTGGGTTCATAAACATGTTGGTCCACTAGGCCCATGACGGATGTGGCGAACTAGCAATTCATTATTCCCAGCTCACATGATGTGCCTAAGCGATGGCGCTTTTGCATCCACCCTCTACTATGAGGAATTTGACAAGGTTCTTGTCATAAAATTAATCCACAGTATGTCAAAGTTGAGGACCACCTTCAAGATTGGAATGGCATGGCAAAAAGTTGATACGACCTTTCAATTAGAAAATGAACAGTGTTTAGAGTTCTTGAGTTCTTTTAGAGCAAAGAGAACATTGATGCAGGCAGGGAAAACATAATATGTATATGCTTCTTGATTTCCATGCCAGTCATCTGCATGCGCATGTGGGGATATTACCAACATGTTGGGTCAAAAGGGCCAACGTTGATGTGAACGATGTGGACAGTGTGGTCTAGCAACAATTACAGTTATCGAAGCTGCAGGGAGGAAGGTTAATACTACCTTTCAGCTAGAAAATGAAAAGAGAGTTCTTGAGTTCTGTGGCCCAAACAAAATGATGCAGGAAAAACATGATTTTAATTCAACAGGACACAGCAATTCAATGAAGTGCTTGCTTGCCCAGCCATATAGGCAAATTCTGTGTTTGTACACAAAGGAAAGTTAAACATAAAAGATAGAGAAAAAAGATCCAAGCCAAGAGAAGACAGGGACAATGTTTCATGCACATCAGAAGGTCATTAAATACGGATTTCCTAGTTTGTAAATATTTCTTCCTGAAAATAAACATTACCAAAGTGCTTTTGGGACCACTCATTTTGGAAAAACAATTGACTGAAAACAGTAGTAGAGGCTCCTACTAAAATAAATCAGTTAAAAAAAGATTTATGTACATCATATGTAGGGTGAGAAGGACCTTTAGATCCTCATTTTGGGAAGTTCGAGATCATGAGGTCATATATCTTGTAAGATTAAACTTTTTATTAATTAAATTATCAAAAAATTCAAGATTCCAGAAAACCTAGAATGTAAAATTAAGCAATAAGATAGGACATGAGTAATTAAGATGCAGATATCACAATCATCATCATGCATATTTCTATATTTGGTATTAGGCACAGTTAATTTTCTAGCTAGCATTGAAGTACAATGAAATTACCGAAGCAACAGATGATCGTGTTGGGTCTGTGAGGTCGAAGTTTCCAGCAACGCCGCGATCTGCAGAACTAGCATCTGACTGGGCATTTGCGGCAGGTAGTGCAATTACCGCCTGATTGGCTAGTTGACGAACTGACAAGCTGCCACCATGACCATTATCTTCTTCCATAGCCACTGCTGCTGTTGGTACATTTTCCATTAGGAGTCCATTTGTATCACTGCTGCGGGTACGCTGATCCCCTGAAGTAACATCTAACATTTCCTGTTTGCCCACAGATGGTGGACGAGAGTTTTTGTCAGTGTCACTTATAACCACATGCCCTGGGGAAGATGACACAGCTTTGTCAGTATGAGCATCCAAAACATTCTGAGTGCAGCCATTCTTGACACAAGCTTTGGTTTTACCAGGACTAAATGTGCTTTCATTAGTTGGTTGTATGGAATCATCGGTCAGGGGTGCATTGCTTCTTCTAGGCAACATGGAGACATCAGCAGATTCTTGAGGAAGCACATTGCTACCCAAAGCACCAGCCACCATATCAAGTGACACGTTGTTCTGAACATCAGATGTTAAACATGAAGAATGTACCACTGGAGGTCCCTCCTGAGATACAGAAATTTCAACAGCAGTACCAGGCAATGTGGATGCAGATGACCTCAAATTTACAGCAGTGGTATCACGTGGATTGGATTTGGAGCGATAATTCTCACCATCAGTTGAACCTAGTGATGAATTGGTGCAAGCAGCAATGCTCTCAGGTCCCTTATCTTGTATATCTATAATGATATTATCTGGTGGCAACATTGTGTTCTGATCATTCTTATTCCTAAGGCTGCTAATAGAATTGGTGAACATATCACTTTCAGAGTTATGTGTGCTTGGAGGGAGGTTCACTCCACCCTTGAAGCTGCCAACCCAATCTCCTGGAGTGGAACTAAGATCAACAAATAGATCAATTCCATCTTCATCCATCAGAAAAAGTTTAAAAGGAGATTTTACATTTGCCGAGTTCTCATTAGACAAGCCACTGCCCTTATCTATGCCATTTGTACCAGCTTTCATATGGCTGGGAGGCTTTGATGCCACACCATTAGGACCAGGATGACTTGCTACGAAAGAAATTGTGTCATTCACAGGAGCAACTGAAACATGATTTCCATTAAGCTTTGGGGCTGTTGAGCACGTTGCAATACCATCAGCAGTTTGTTTCACATTATGAGCAATCCCTTGTCCAGAACATGAATTAAAGCAGTCTCCTTTGCCATTGTTACTAGAAATCGGAGGAAGATTCGTTCTGGTACCAGAGTCCTGGTTCAAGATACAGAAACAAATGAAGAAATGATACGCACTGTATACAAACAGAAACTTTGACAGGCATTATGAGTACACAGATCACAGAGAAACACCATCTTAAACGTAAGACAAAAATCAACTAACAAAAACGATGATGATAATTGGTAAATCCAAAAGAGTATCCTATTTTTTGAAAAAGCATGCTGCAGAAGATAGGTTTCATATAAAAATATTATGGTCCTAGATTTGCAGGTTACTGGACAAAACACCACTACAGCTATTTGTAGTAACAATCCATTACTTGAATTCAAATCCAAGCACAATTCAGCGACAAATCGTTATCTATGTAGTATGTACACGTGTAAATTTTACAGCTGCTAATATCCACCTTGTTCATTTCAAAGAATAATCGTAGTTTTTACTCCCTCCATTCCAAAATAAGTGTTGGGGCTAGGCAGTAAGAAACAAGTGAAACTATATTTCACATTTTCATGAGTGAGAAGATTCATCCTATCTTTTATAGGAATGGGCCAACTAGCACGAAATGTCCAAGGAATTCAAATCTTGGATGACTCTGGCAAATTATAGAAGTTGGGTGGAACCTCCTTTCACCCTAGTGCAGTGCATGTCAAGAGTATTGTACTATCAAGACGAAATAAAATAATATATTTCTGATTCAAGGCCAATCTCATCTAAGGCACAGAAATAGTTTCAGGTATCAAGTGAAGAGGACTGGGAAATATATGACTCTATTCGTTACACAAGAAAACTAAATAATCTAACCCGCACATTTCTCTTGGCCATGAAACCGGACAAGCTGATAGCCTGATACCGAAAAATTGAATAGTATGATTTGACTAGATAAAATTCAGTTTACGGAACACATGCCAAGAAATGCCTAGATTACCCAATATGTTGAATTTGAACAAATGAAATTGATTTATACTAAAGTATGAAATTGCCTGGATTACAAAATTTTAAAAAGCATGCATCCAGTACTCAGTTAGACAATCGGAATCCTAGTTGTATTGCATTGCATTGCAAGGATAAACATTAGGTTGAATCAGAGAAAATGATGTATTGTAACAACATAAAATTGACAGAGGTAACAATTACTTACACTTTTCAATTTTCTATCTGCTTGTTTTCTAGACACTTTTTTATGCTTTAATGGTGGCCTAACATCATCATCATCTCTGTCACTATATGGGCCTCTTTTGTGGTTATCTTGCTCACCTGCAATCAATTAGGTTTTGTCAGATATATACTAACATCCACATGTCCCTGAGTGTGTCCGCCAGTAAACATTGGCATCTGCCAAACTAATAAAGAAGTTTCTACACATACATTTGGATGCTTCTTTGGTATTTGGTAACATGGCAGGAGAGGTAGCAGGAGAAGCCTGTGTAGAAGTAGGACCAGTCAAATTTTCCTTTTCAGGTCCTGAATTATTTTTTTCATTCTGGAAAAAGAAAGATGGTGCACATCAGTAGTCAATTTATTTCACCCTTGCAAAGCAAGAAAACAACTGACAATAACACTAGGTAACATCTTCGCCTTAAAATACATACATGTACTCAAAGTTGAAGCAGATGGTGTATACTGAAACTCACCTCGAGATAAATGGCCAGCAAGCGAGCTAGCTGAGGGTGGGTCTTGTTTGCAGGAAGGTTATACTCCTTGCACAAAGATTGGAGGCTTTGGAGACTAAGGCTGAGGAGGTGTTTCTCGTTTTTCTCCCACCCCATCAGGTGGACTGTAGCAGCACAGGGAAGACACAACAGCATTAGGTACACTTTGACATGAGGCAACGATCACGAGTTACACAAACAGTACTCAATATTCATCGGAATTTGGAAGCATCGGTATGCCCAAGCACGACAACAACACGCAAGCGAGTAGAGCACACGACTCAATCTGAGAGCACCAATTGCCCAGCTTTACATAGGGCTGAAACACGCGAGCACTTGGGAGCTCGTTGCGCCTGAAATTCGAGCGCGCATTGCGTTCCCCTAAAGGAAGGTGAACATCTCAGAACCACGAAACACATGACTCCACCGTCCCTCCCGCCGCGAACCCCACGCCACCCTCGCCACGCGGACGGAGGGGGCGCGGAAATGGAAATTCCCGAGCGGATCCGAGCGGAGCCAGATCCAGGCGAGCGGAGAGGCCACCGGGGACGGGGCGCGGCCCACCGAACCCAGCCCGCCAGCCCCAAGCGAAAAACCCGCCCAACTAGGCAACAACAGCGCACGCGCGGGAGAGATGAGAGGGCACCGGCGGAGCGGCCCCTCCTACCGCCGCGCCCCACGACGAGCGGCGACGCGGACGGCGAGCCCCGGGCGAGCGAGCAAGCCAGGGAGCAGGGCGTGGCGACGTCGAATCGGCGCTAGGGAGCGCGGAGGCGCGGAGATTTACCTGGAGCGGCGGGCGGGGCGGGTCGGGG